TGTCTCAGCTTATCGTCCTTCTAGAGCGACAGCGTCGGCTAGCAACTGGAACAACGTATGTGAAGAAATCATGCACCAATCTGCCTTTTCATCGAGTATCCTGATAATCGACCATCAACTGCTATCAACACTTGTGAAACGCGGTGAGTTCTTGAGAGGTACAGTTCACGTTGATTGTATGGGCGGCGAAAGCCAATCACTATGTTCGTCTTGTGGGCGTAGAAACCCGCAGTTCTATACAAATGAAGCTTGCAAGAGAAACCAGGCTCTCTTTTCGAGTCAACTAGCTAGGAAATATTAATTGGTTTTGTGCGCCTTTGAGAGTGAGCACCGTTTCGGAATTGAAGTCATTTAAGGACTATCAACGATGTGCAGTACCAAGTGCGTGTGTGCAATTCGGGAAACAACTGCAATGTGGCCTGTCCAGCGCCAGACCGTAAGTTTGTTTGAATTCTACTAGTTGTACAGGCTTTTCAGTACAAGTCATTGCAGAGCAACTCGTCTCATGTTACCAATGCGAAGCCGATCAAGACGACTGCAATGTAGGATCTTGTCAAGGAAAATATTGTCTGTTCAGTGAGTTTTAACAGACCGAAACATGCCTGTGAGCCGATCGTGAACTGTGTCTCCAAACAATCTCTCTACAGCCAGAACCCAATCATCGTCGGGTGTTCATGTGAAGAAGTCCTGTACTAACACCGATATCCTCCTCTACGTGGACAACGTACAGTACACTTCATTCGGCAATTGCGAGTACAGGTGAGTAGGTACGGTAACCGTAGAATTGCGCGTATTGCGTGTTTTAGGCAGGTTAATTCCGTCAACTACGACTATAAACTATGCAATTCATCGTACTGCAACACGGCCTGTCCTACGGGGCCATTTCCATCGCAGTTATCTGGGTCCGCTTCGATTTTCTCCACAATGGCCTTTTCAGCCACCCTTGTCTGGCTTTCTCTGACACTTTGAACTCATAGTGAAGTTTTAAAATACACTTTATATGTATATCTGATAAAAATTTATCCATTGATAATGATGTTAGCGCATTTTTATTCAATGTGTATTATATGGCAGACAAACGTTAGAGTTACGGTAAGCATTCCTGAAAATTACACTGTAAGCAGCGCCCGACAAAGTGCAGGAATGGCAAACCTCACATCATTTATTCACAAAATAGTGACTGTGCGCTTCCTTCTGTTGGTCATCCTGGAATTTTTTATTTGTTCTAAGCATTTTCAACAGGCAGTCAGTTTCCCCTAATAGTACTGTCTCAGGCGCCAATGACCTTGGGGGGAGCACTCTATAAGCGCTTGGCATACACGCGTTAAAGGACCATCAACGACGTGCAGTATCTAAGCTTCGTTAAGTCTTCTCAACTGTATGCATGTGAATATGGGACAATCCTGTCTCACTCTGGAAGTCCTGAATTGCTGTCAAGTACCCTGTAAACGTCTATCGAGCCCTACAGCTATGTCGGCCAGGGCACGTCATCGTTGAGGATTCCCCAACGGGGGGAGGGAGGGGGGGTGTCATATTGGGTCGCTGGAGGGAGGGGGTTGTCATATTGGGTCGCTGGAGGGGTATTTCTCTGAGAAAAGTTCTCGATATTGTGAGTTTTCTTGTTTCACGGACGCTATAAAGGGACAGGGTCGTATTAGCCATCGCGAGGAAGGGAAACCTTTTTCCGATTAGCGGAGCTTTTGACCTGTTTCACATGTGCTATATATTCCCCTCTCTTACCCGCTCGACAGCTCGATCAGAGGAGGGACGGGGGGTCTAATGATGTGCCCCGACAGGGGCCCCGCACCCCCTTATTTTGAGACAGGTTCTCAAATTCAACCATTTTGACAATTTTGACCGGTGTTTGCAGGGTGCTTGACTTTTCCTGGGCTCACAGGGTATTGACAAGGTTGCACAGTATTCGCTTGGGTACAGTTTACAGGACTCTGGTCCGCTGAAAAGCGTTTACTAGTGCGCCCACCCCTTTCCCCCATTACCACAAGGGCAGTCAGCGCCCTGTTTCAGTTACAGAAGAGGCGGGATGTATTTGGCGCACGCAGATTAGGCCAAGTTTCCGAAAACAACGACTGTACTCTCGAACTTCCTAAAATAAACTCTGCAATAAGAGGAAATACGGATCTTCCGCATTTTTCAGTCCATCCCTTTTGCTTGCCAATGCCATTCTACCTCCAAAATCTTAGCGTCACTGATGACTACGATTTTGCCCGCATAATGACTTGCGGAGGCCAGCCTATGTGCAAGTCAGCGTTTTATTCTCCCGGACCTGCCGTCGACGGAGATTAAAAGGCACTGGTCTTTGCGGTCTGGGACTTCACCCCTTTACCGCGCGCGTGGTAAGCGGACCACTTGTCATTACACCACTTCCGCTTTGGTTATGTAATAATCACTGGAACGGTTTGAAACATGTCCTTTGTTCTGTCCTCCCATCCCAAGTGCACTCCGAAGTTGGATCACGACTCTGAGCGGAAGCTCAAGGGATGGCGCATCGTCAGAAGCAGAACCCATGCAGTCACGTTCACTGCGTATGCAGGGCGCATCAGGAGGCGGAAGCTGGATTTGGCGCACCGCATCCACGTTCTACACCAATCGTTGAAGCCGGCAGACGACCACAACTGGTGGAAAACTGTCTGGCGCTGCGAAACGCCGACAAATGCGCTGCGTACACCTTCTCCTTTTGATTGGTATGCCTTAGAAAGTGGAAGTACAGTTTCTTTTGTAAAGAACTGACCACAATAGAAAGCATTCCGGAACTGAACTTACTGAACGTTTTCCATCCGCTGCAGCTCCACCACCAGGTTTAGAAGCTCCCCCTTGCTGAAAAGAATAACGATCATTGAAGTGCCCTTATTATTATTTCCTCATGCCGAGGAGGTCAAACATACAGCAAGGCTCTGACGAGTCCTCAAAATGAATAAGCCACGATTACATTAGTAGAGCCTTTCTCGTAATAAACTGGGTGTTAAAAATTGGTGCCAATAGCCATGAGGCTTTGAGAGAACCCCTGGTGGAAAAGGGGAGCAATGCGTCCAAAAATTGTCCTCTAAATCTTTCGCCCCATCAACCAGAGCTCATCTCTCTTCAGGTTCAGTGCAGATAGTTCGTATATCACTGTGGAGGGCTGTTTGCACAAAGGCATCCTGGTTGAAGCTTGAACGCCTTGAAGGCTAGTAATGCCTTGATTCTTCGAACTCACAGGCTGAGCAAAAGCGAAATAGCTTCCTCTTTCTCCTTTAGCACATAGTGAGGTCGAATAAACCTCTCCTGGAGCAAGCGGTGTGGCACCCTTCATCTCGGCTTTTTCCTGCAAGCGAACCAACATAGTGTCAATAATGTGTACTCTTCGGACTATTGACAACCATACCTTCTGGATTTGAGCAGTAGTCTTTCCTTGAATCTGCGCTTGGACCAAATCGTTGGCCTTTTCGATCTGAGGCTGGTACTGTTTGTCAATTTTTTCAGCCCTGAAATGTCATCTTATGGTTTCGTTATATTGTAAGAAGCTAAAACCGACGGGAAATAAAGGCAAGTGCGCCAACAGCGCGCTAACAGTGTCACAATCCGGCGGCGATGTCAACAGGCCGGTATGAGCCCGACGGCGGAGTTATCTGCTACTAGTTGTTTTCTACCCAAATGCGGCTACTACTAGTAGCCAACATAGCCGTGGGCAGCTTATTTCACGTCTCCTGACACCATCTCGCCGGATTGCGACGATATAAATTGTATTTATGACAGCTTTTTAGCAGAAATCCCCTTCTCATTGCCCCGTGGCTCTATGCAGCGATTCTCAGGAGTGTATCGCACATGAATGAGCGCGTCGCTGTGCCCCATCGAGCAGCCGTCCTGGTAACACCCCTACGGCCACCCGTGAGGAAAGGAAGGTGAAAGAGTCGCCAGATGGCTTTGAAGTGAGGTCCTCGGTCCTGTAGTCTTCTAATTTTTACCAGACTGCACCACAGTCGAGACCGGGACGGAAAAGGCAGAAGGTGAAGAGGGAAACAGGAGAGGTGGCATGCAAGAGATATCAGTGATTTGAGGTGTGGCAGACATCTACATTTACAGGCAAACCATCGCGCGAGAGCGTTCAACTCTCCATTTGAAGCCTACTCACTCTTACGGCTAGTTCCTCCATAGGAACCTCCCAGATTGCCTAATTTAGCTCCATTTTCCCTCTTCTTCATATTCCGCTGCCCCCTGCCCATCACAAAAGTGTTATATCCACCGCTGCATATCTAACAAACGTAAAACAAGCTCTAAAATTCAACTATACTAAAGATTTCGGCTAATACTAGTCCTTCACTAGTTATTGATTTACGATATGATTGAATGCCATAATCCGACTGTTGCAAGGGCAGAACCTCAAAGGCACGGTCCGCGATCAGGTATCGAAGTTGAAAATGGCGTCAGG